CTCACCTCGGTAGAGATTTTGCGTGCCACTGTGGATCTATTGGCAGCCTAGCGGAAGCCGAGTGATATACGGTGTTAGTGTAAGCTTTAACAACCAAGGAAGGGTGGTACTCACGTATTTACGTTCTCGTATATCAGTCCTAGAGAAAGAGTGTTATCAGTGAGAGATAGATAGTCTTGAGCTGATGACTAGGTACACTCACAAGTATAGACAAAAGGAGATGATCACCAGCCAATCTTCGCAAATGATATGTGCGAGGAGAGATGCAAGAGAAACGTCAAGAAAGACGGGTGGGGGCATATTTATACCTCCCAGGGCGGAGTTCCTCGTCTTTCGCTTGGATAAAAAGTGGCAGATTGTGAGACTTTCTAATTATTACTGGGCAAGAGGAAAACTGGCATACCAGCAAGCAGTTTTCGAGAAAGGTGTTTACTCACCAGCGATGGGCAGACAGGAGCAGCAAAGACTGAATGACAGATAGCTGGTAAGTAGTCAAGGCTCAGATAGTCTACGAGGTTTGGCGAGGCCCTCCAGCAGATAGAAATTGCGGCTAACTGACAGACCAGAGTTTATTCACCAGCGGATTCAGTTGAATCAACAGCGATGAGCAAACATGAGGCGTCTCAAGAATATGTGGAATGACAAATAGTTGTCAAGGAGGAATCATCGAGGTAGAGTTCTAGTCCCGGTAAGACGAATTGGGGATGTAGAAAACGAGGTCGTAAACTTTATTCACTCGCGAATCAGTTGACTCAACGGGGATGAGCAAACAACAGCTTGATCAACAATATGTGGAATGGCAGATACTTCTTGAAAGTGAAATTTGAGGCGCGCACTAGAAAGTCCTCCGTTTGATTACTGGCTTGACTTCTGTTCTGGCCTTCTCTGACCCATTAACTAGCTGAAATAAATACTTACGAACAAGATGCATTTGCTCGCCCCGCTTCTACCACCTTTGTATGAGCGGACGAGGTGTGAACACAACACAGGATACACGCCCAGGAGGAAATGTAGAAGTTGCCATCCCCCCTCAAGCAGAATGCGAACCTTGGGCAGCCCAAATTGGCAAGACCATAACAGTGCATGGTCGTCAAGTTGAGCCAACACCGGGTACCTTGGATCCACACCGGTGCGGCCCGTGGGTCGAGGTGGGGTCACCATATCCACTCTGGTGCCTCAACGTTGAGTGAACGACAGTGAATGATCAGCGAGGAAGCTGGAAGCCCTCAGAGAATGATGGTGAATGAGAGATTGCTCAATTTTGTGCGACCCCCGAAAAATCTCTACGGCGTCCAAGGAATCGCTTTCCATTACATTTCGGCCGTTCCAGCAAAAAGGACCGCTCCTCAAGTAGCGGGTGCCGGGCATACACTACTCTACGAAAACCACAAAAGTGCGTCCTTCAAAAATATGAGAATTGGAGACACTTATTCACTAAGTTGATATGCCATGGCTTTATGATAGTAATGCCATAATCAGAGTATATTGACAATCACCAAGAACTCAGAGCTCTCTGCAGCCTCTCCGCTGCCAATCTTGGTCACATAATATCAGCCCTTAAATAGAATACGTAGACACATGGAACTCTGCACAAGTCCAGTAATGGATGTATGGAGGAATACCCCTGAATAGCAATCATGTAGACATGCCTTCTCTCAATGTGCAGCAAAGACAAAACCTGTCAAGCCGTGTACCTCAGTACTTCACAATAAGCCGCCAGAACTTGGGCATAGTCAAGCGGAGGTGGCATGGAAGCCGCACGCAATTCGACGGGCCTTTTCAAAATAGACCGATGGCCCGCCCACCGTCCTCCACCATGGCAGTTTCACACGCGCAGCATAATGCTGAGGACCTTCATTCTGACTCACTTCTCTGAGGTCACCGTAACACTATTGTGAACCATGGGCGAGCCAGCTCTTTGCCCTTCGATTGCAACTGCGCCAATTTTGTGATTCGACCAGCACTTTCTGAGAGTCAGAAATACTACACACCCAGATAGAATGAACGGTCGTGGTGCTGTCTGGCGCGACATGATTGGCGATCCACTATCTGCTTTTTGCAATTGAGTAAGCGGAAATCCCTTTAAAACGATCGGCATTATCGACAAGAATTCTTCGAATGATTGCTAGTGCAGGCACTTTCTTTTCCCACATACTGCTATAACTGACCGCTGGCTACTTCGACTACTCGACTCCTAAGGCGGATGAGTATTATCAAGTGAATCATCCCATTGAAAGCTTCTCCAGAGCCTTATCCCAAAAATGAAGGGTACTATTACTTGGTCATGTGTCTCCTGTCTGGAAAGTGACTATCAGCGATACAATATCATCATATGTCCATACGATCCATTATCGCGTCTAGCCGCCACTTTGTCATTTTTCCTCCCAGCAAAGAGACGAATCAATATCTACACTCTATGCAATCTTTGTAGAGATGAAAGTGGATGTTTCACGGGCGATGATCAACTACGTGTGGTGCTGAAGAAGAGGGATCAGACCTATTTCAAGTGGAATACTTCATGGGCGCGGTCGCAGTGGGATTACTGGCTTTCTTGTGATGAATGCCAATTGTTGAATGAATCAATGAAGGATAACAGAGTCTATATCCATCTTTTCACAAATGTATCTATCAATTGATTCCAATACATATCTGCTTTCTTAGAAAGAGGAAGTTGAAAGATAGACTGCTTGAATGTAAGTCAAATACCGATCTAAGTTAGATAAAATATGATATTTTGGTGTTGCTTTACTATCAAGATGAAACTGTAGTCTGATTACGAGTACGGTTGCCTCTTATTAAGTAGTAATGTGGAATGTTAGGCTTCGTCGTATTCAGACCTTTCGTATCAACAAAAAGGATCAATTTGTTCACAAGCAAAACTATACGATGGCATACATGGCGCTCAGAATCGACGAATACAGTAGCCAAATTGCACTTTGATATTGACCAGAATCCATTTTACTTCCTGATTACGTCTGACCAAGCCATGCATCGTTGGTCATAGAACTAGTATTCATGAATAATCCTTAATTTGAAATCGCAAAGCAAAGTTTCACTCGATACAATACGAAACAAATAGACTCAATACAAAGAAGGTCAAGAACAGAACAAATGAGAAATCCAAACATAAGACACGGCAAATGGGCTACTCTGTTAGATAGTAACGAATTTCCAGCTATTGGAGTTCCGAATGTGCATCGGATTTTCAATCTGCGGAACAAACATAGACGAGCGAGGCCGAGGAAATCTAACAAAAGCTCGTAGCCGAGCTGGTAGCAGAACTGGTGACAGGGCTGGTGGCAGGGCTTTTAGCAGGGCTAGTGGTTTTTGTAGAGTATGACAGAGAAATGCTTGTGGAAGTGACCTCAATGTCAGTCGCACTACACCAGCTGCCAACATCAAGACAATCGTTCAAAGTGCATTCGGCCTCGTCCCCAGCCTGATTGAAGAACGTGAGAAGACCATTCTGGTTCACGCGATTCCATGCGGTATCGCAGGCTCCCACGTTGAGTACAGAAAATGTTTTGTGGGTGCCATCAATTACCTCGCTCAGCTCTATTAATTCGTCAACGCTGTCAGGGCCGGATATGTATTTGTCGCTTACTTGAACAATCATTTCCATCGAGCTGGCCAAAAGATGCAGAGTATCCTGTGCATGCATGGTTATCACTAGGCCACACGACGCATTCGCCAGAAAAGTCTTCTATCTGGAGAACACCGCCATGTGCGATGCCTGCATAGATACTGGTGAAAACGAGACCGGCCGAAAAATGCATTTTCTTTGTTATATGTAAAAGTTCGCCTGTTTGAACGAGCAGAGTCGTCGAAGTATTTGTATTGTTCATCTAGAGCCTAATGTCTTTTATGTAAGGCTAAGGTGCAAGACTAATCTTAACGCGAAATACTAAACCGTCCTGATTCCTAGTTCCTAGTTGCGAACACAGTATCGTGGCGCACATTAGTTACCGATATGTTTCACTTCGATTGTGGGGCTGAACCAAAAGAGACCAAGTGGAGTCTGCAACAGCGTTTTGGTGTATCGCCCCTAATTCTTGCGACCTCAGTCTGGTCCACAGCAACATGTTCGTTATGGCGACCCCGGATCAAGAGCGCTGGAGTTTTTTTCTTGTTCAGCCAAGCAGCATTTGATGGGGTTGTGTCAAAACAACTCTTTGGCGACAGCGATCCCACTTAGTCCCATCGGCACTGAAACATGGTCGCAAACCGGGCACGGGCTATGGAATAAAGTTAGAGCAATAACTTAACCACGATCCGCGTACTGTGAGAGTGAAAAAAGAGCCTTCGAACAAGTAGTTCCTGGCTGTCGTTTCAAAATCTCGCACATCTCTAGGTTGTCGCAAGGCTCATCTCCGCCGTCGCCCACCTCTTCTTTTAACAACTCAGCTATGTAGCACAGATCTTGACGGGGAACTCGACTATTTTGTTGCAAGGAACTCCTGAGAATTATTTCTGCAAACTTGGAAGAAACAGAATCTCTCGATTTGGCTAAATAAGTTTCATTCAAGGACCGATGGGTTTCAAAAGAAAAGAAATTGGATCTTCTGTCATTTTACTAGTTACTGCGCAGGCTGACCTGAGAACTCCATAATTTATTCCGTTGCGCCCGCCCCGTTGTCTATTTCTTTGCGATAAGCTCGAGTCTGCTGCAAGACCAAGGCCTTTTTGTCATCCGTCCTAATCCGTGCCATTTCCTCCGGTCTAAGAATACCAACGCTGCTATCGAAAAAAAACGATGCGGAGGTCTTGTATGATATTTCCAAGAATAAGAGATCTCACCACTGGCTCTTATTCCTCGAAAGTACGTGCAGTAGCTGGGTACACCTTTTTTGCGAAGGTAACAAAAACATTGATCTGGAGATTTGTGAACGTCCTATTGCACCTAAGTAGAAGAAAAGTAAGCTCAAGCAACTTGGTAGATGGATGTGGATCGCACATGATGCTCACCAAAGAACTGTTACCAATCAAGAGTATACCAACTCCTAAAACACTGGCAAGTCTCCACCACCATATCCCTCATCGGGCGTGATATCCTGTACTTCTATTACGACGGTGCTGTAGTGAGTCGGAGGCGCGAGGGTCGTCCGAGTAGGCGTGGAGAATGAAGACAAAATATGCGTTCCATTGTCCTTCCACGAGGTACGACAATTGTGACCCAGTGCCTGCTTGCGGAGCACTTCGTAATTAAAATAAAATAGAACCTGCCCCATGCGCCTCGAAAGAGGGTTTAAATAAGGTGTCCTCTCATCAGCATCTAAGGTCCGGAGGTAATTTGCAGCTTCATTTATCCCTCTCCACTCAACAGGAAGCCCCAGAGCATGCAAATCTAGGGATTTTCGTTCATCCCAGCATTCAAAGATTGGCTGCAGCAATTCACCTAAATTTTGCGCTAGAGAAATATGGGCCCCTGCATCAAGAATTCCTTGGAAACGACTGTCGTCGAGTGGGATATTGGTCAAAAGCAGCAAGGCCCTGAGAAGTTCTTCGGAGCTGCTATGAATTGCTGCCATATCCGATTGAACCAAGCTATTACCAGGGAGGCGGTTTGAAGATATCGTTTCGTTGGCATTGCGTGCGAAACATATCTGACCAATGCGATTTCTACTTGTGCATGAGTCCTTAGCGATACATAAAGGCGGCACTGTGTCAGAGGATCTAGATTCAGGCATGAAAGCGGTCCTCTGTGACGATATGAAGGAAGGACCCTGGGTTTGGTCTGCGTCCCGATGAATATTTTCCTGAGGTGCTCTAAGAACCGGCAGTATAGCGTCGATATGCGCCGCGACTGCAGATAATGGTTAAATGAAAACAATCCATAATGGAATATTGTCATTACCTTTCGCAAAATTCTCGGATAATGAAGACAAGTGCGTGATCATGTTGAGTCTAGCCATCTGCTCTTCCTTCATTTCTAGGTTATCCGGGGGAGAACAGAGGAGTTTTCGCACAAAGCCCGAACATATCAAATCCCGATCCGTTTCAAGCATCTGGACCACGACGTTGCCAAATTTGCAGTGATAGTGTCCCCTCGTCCTTTGTTGGAAATTTTCTGGTGCCAACTGGCCATGAACGAGATCTAGCCGACTCACACCGGCATTCGGCTGACCTTCTTCTACTCTCACAATGAGTGGATGTGGAGTGCTGAATAAGCCACGCACCTTGAATTCAATCCTTTTGCTAATCAAGGAGGCTCCGATGTGGTGAGCAACGCTTCCATTGGATTCGAGAACCTCGCGAAACTCTCCAAGCGCAGGAGAGAGGAAGTCCAGATGTTGTCGCAAAGATTTGAAGTGCCCCAGGGGAAAAATAGAAGAAATAACTCCCCGCCCCCAGGTCCGATCCCAGCGGGAAACCTAAAGTAGTACCGCGTCAAGAATCTTAATGTGGGCCCCGGGCTCTGCAACGTAAACTGATAACTCATTCATGGTATATAATAGGACGGCAGGCAGCAGCAAACATTCGATTTCATAGTCGGACGGTCGGATTGGGCTATGGCAGGGATGCAATTTATAGTCGCAAGCTTCAAAGCGCTGAAAATCGGACGTCTCGGTCCCAGTTGGCGGTATTTTTAGGTACAGTTGAAGGAAGTGTCGAGTTTTCCCGAATCCGTAAAACTGTGTAAGATCTGCATGTAAATAACGGCTTCTTCGATTAACTGCTTGGCGACTTACGTGATCACGCCTCGCATATAAAATTACTAACTACCGTCAAGGTTAAAAAGCGTTATGTCATAGCACTGTCGGCTCTCACTAAGATCGAACCCTAGAATGCCGCAAACTACGTCTCCGACTCCGTTCAGGGCGCCACCAACACCAGTGCTAAGGAGGCCAATAAGAACGTTGCCAGGGACTCTGACACCAGCATCGGTACTCGCGCAAGCGCAGCCAAGGACGCTGCTGTCAACAAAAAGGATGAGACGGTGCACAACACCAAGGCTGATACAAACAAGGGTGAGTACTTATGCGCCTGAATTTAGCATGGTCGCATACTGATTCGTCCTTTAGAGGCTGCTAAGCACTAAGGCTGTTTGTCCAGTTTGGGATAGATCTGCAACCATGCTGACGCTATTGGGGTCAATCTCGTGGATGCGTTCTATGAATATGATTAAACAATTAATCAATGAATACCACATATAGTTTGTGCCCCATGAATTTTTTTCTATACGAGTGTTCGCTGTCTCTTTGGAGGAACGAGATTTTTGTGAATGACTTTACTGTTGTATCTCTTTAGTATTAAGACAGCTCCAAATGACACTTGAAAGGCTAATTGGGAATCACGTTCGGATGCGTCATCAGATAAAGCCTCACTGTCGAGTGAGTGAGGTGATCTTGAGTAGAGGGCCCCCAGTAATCTAAAACTACATCCGTCTCATTAGATGTAGCCCTTTTCATTCGTCTTTTCGTGTTCGCGCTCAATGGCAAACTTGACAGCATCATAGACGTTGTCACAAATCTTCTTCGGCTTGTAGCGCGGGGTGTCCCCATCCTGGTAGACACCAGTCTTGACCAGGATAGAGTACCATTCCTGATCGACAGCCTCATTGAACTCATTTGTACCACGGATGTCTGACTCGGGTGTGTCACCGAAGAAATAGACGGTGGATGGGGGCTCATCGATGCCATGCCAGTCACTTCGCCATTGCTGTAAGAGCCGAGTTGCGAATTGAAATGTGCCCTTTTGCGGCTTGCCAAACGCAATAGTGTGAAGTTTATTTCCGGTAATGGCCTGGTAGAGGGCCTCTAGCGAAGCGCGGAGCGCACCCATGCCAATGCGCGAGTAGTCGTGTGAGGTGGACCAGACAACGTCATTGTGCGAGAAGAACAGGGTGGGGCCTTCGTCGAAGGTCTCCGATCGTGTGCCCAACTGGCCGTTCTTGGTCAACAAAACATCCAAGATGATCTGCTGATCGCCAGCCCAGTCGCGACTATCTGCAAAGACGAAGATAGCGTCGACCTTGGTCTTTTTCAGGTCTAGTGTCCGCGAGTTGTTGAATTCCTCTTTCGTCAGCTTTCGGAAGGGAGTGATGTCTTGACGAGTCTTGATCATGTCGCCCGGGGTGATGACGTCTTTGAAACCGTAGCCTTCAGCGACGATGCGACATTTTTCGCCTTCTCCGCCCACGACGAGGACGGTGTTATATCGCTGTGCCATCTCACGCATAGGGGTGTGGCCGCAGATGAACTGACCCCGGTCGATCTTCTGACCAAGCTGATGACTCAGGTCCGAACACCGTTCTTCTTCGGTTTTACCACCACCATTTGTAAGGAAGATGTAGGGGCTTCAAAAAAGGATATATAATCAGAAAAGGTAACGGATGAGGCTTCTAAAGGGCAGTATAAGTCTCACACTCGAACTCCATAGGGATTCTCGCCATTAATGTATTTCATGGCCTTGACAGCCTCGGGGATGGCCTCTCCACCTCGCACCAGGACTCCATCAATATCAAACGCTAGTGCATAGTCGGTACTAGTAGTCACTATTGAAGGCGTCGCCAAAGAGGCGGCTGATTGAACAGATTGTCCCGCACCCAGAGTGGCGCCTTGATCGAGATTGAGCTTCATGCTTTTTGAAGAGATGAAGTTGCTATTTCTGGAAGGGGGACAATGGAAGGGCCTGTAAATATATCGGATTGTTGTCTAGTTTCCACTTTTTTCTCTTTGTCTCATGCTGTAGTGTCAACTACAGATGCTTTTATTCATGTCTAGTCCGGTTTAGCGTATCTGATCAGGTTACGTCATAGTGGATCGTTTGGAATGACGTAATGCAAGCACACAACTCAAACGGACTCGCATTTATCGTCCCTATCTTCGAAACTGTTTGCCAACGGGCGGGCGTATCCTGAAACTTAAAATAGAGTGCCGAGGCATGCCAATTTAATTCTAGGTTTATGATCTCTGTAGACGATGATGTAAACGCTGCTCCTTAAGTTAGTTAAGTAGTAGCCGTGCCTTACCCTACGGTCTGGACACCAAATGTGTGGGGCCCCATTTGGTGTCCCGCAGCGCAATGCAATTCTCACCGCAATGCAATTTTTTGGTCTTTACATACAATTTTCTTAGCAATTTAGAATTAATCACAAAAAGCAATGACCTCTCCCGAGTCATCGTATATCGGCTCTGCGTTTGCCTCCATCTCAGCGACTTTCTCACGTGAGAGGGCCGCTGGACCGTACTTTTTCTCCATCTCCCTTGCCGTACGTCTTTCATCTTTTTTAATTTCTTTTGCCTTCCTCTCAGCTATGCTACGTTTAGAATCTTTAACACGTATCACACTATCATCACTAAGGCCCATAACACGCCGTCTAGTAGTTTTTTTCTCCCACGGGGCTCGGATGGCGGCCATTTCCCGTATAGTAGCCGTAGTATTGGCTAAGGCGTTAAAATAGAACTCTTGCTCATCTAAGACCTGTGCGGGTGTTTTTTTTCTTTGGGCGTTAAATCAGGCCGGCAGAGAAGAGGAGAGAGATTTTTTGGCCTTTTTTCCACATCTTTAAAGGTTTTTTGAAGGTGTGTTTTCAAGACTTGACGACAAAAGATCTGGTTCCGGAGAGGGTGTTTTCTCTCCCGATAGATCAATTTCAATGTCTGGGATAGGAGGAAGAGCATTTTCGAGGCTCTCACAGACTTTTTTTGCGTCAACTGGATAGATTCCTCGCTCTGAAAAGGCATTTCGACACATTCGGGGTGTAAGGGCTTTGTCTCGGAATTGGTAAAGGTCGTTTAGGAAGGATGATTTTGATGCGAGAAGACCTCCACCCCATTGAGAAATAAGGTTATTTTGCGTCTTAAAATAAGCCTTATAAGCCTGAAAAGGCTTACCATCAAGAGGTTGAAGATAGTTTGTTCGATTTGGCGGAAATCCAAAGATTTTAAAACCTGCTTTGGTCGCAGTATCAAGAAATTCAAATGTCAGATGTGAGCCACAGCCATCGACTAAGAGAATTCGTTACTCTCCTTTTTTGACGCGACCGCGTGTTTCTCAGTCAAATTCTTCTATCCAACGCACAGCAAGCTTATCAACGATATAGCCTTTTTCTGCGGTCGCAGTTATCCATTCATCAGGTATTTCGTGGTCATACCACGACTCCATATGATGCATTCCTTTAAAGATGATTAAGGGCTGCATTCGCCAACCATCAGCCGCAATACATTCTGCGACTGTAACCCTTTCACCGTGCTCTGTGCTAGAAAGGTCTGTAGCTTTGCCTGGTTTACTAGTAAACACTCGGCGAGTCCTTCCTTGCCCAATTTGAAAGCCAGTTTCATCAAAGTTGTAAATATTGCGTGGATTCACACCCTCAAGGGCCTTAGCCAACAAATCATACCAATGATAAAGCTCTGCAACGTCCGCAATTCCTAGACGTTTAGAATCAATAATTTTCTGCCTTCTAAGCTTCATCTCAGTGTCTGGGAAACGACGAATATAGCGATATACCCAATCTTTTCCGACCGTCCGATCGGGTGTCTTTGACCGCGCGAGTGTAGCATTGGCCCAATGTTCTATAATAGAAGGCGTCGGAGGGAGGAAGGAAGCATCCAAAGTCTTTATCCAATAGCCTAAAGCCTTCTCCTGATAGACATTTAGGGTGTAATTCGATGGTTTAACCTCTGTTTTAGGCTTCATATTGCAATTAACGCGTCGCCATAACAATCTGTAATTAACGCCAAATTGCCGCGCGACCTCACGTAAATTTGGCTTTTTTTTGGCTTCGAGCGTGTTTCACGGCCTCATTTACACGAGATACCTCAGTTTCAATAGAATCGGCCATATTTAAGGTCGTACCTTGTAGTAATAAAGATGTGTAAAAAGAAAAATTACATTCCGGTGAGAATTACATTGCGCTGCGGAACACCAAATGCGGCTAGTCGTGTTTGGTGTTTGGTGTCCAGACCGTAGGGTAGGGCACGGCTAGTAGATAGCTTATAACGGTAGTAAGTCAGGCGAGATTTAATCCGACTATAATTATTACCCAACTATTATTTTAAAATAACCATGATTTTTATACATGTATTAAATATTAGTTAGTTCTCTATAACAATTAGAAATAGACTAGTTTTTTGTAACAATTAGAAATAGGTTAGGTTTTCATTATAGCCATAACTAATATCTAATGGTATTTAGATAGAAACTAATAGTTATATAAAAATAATAGTTGATTGAATAAAAATTATAATTAGAAAAATATAATGTAACTTATTACATCTTATAAGCTATTTAATATTTGTTTAAAATAATAGCTATAAATTATAGAATACTAAGATAAGAGGGAAGGTAGAGTAGTAGCACTGTAGCACTGTAGCGGTAAAAACTATATAGTATTGTAACAATCTGTGAGAACTATCATATACATGCAGCTAACTACTAAGCCCGATCCATCCTGCTCCGCACCGATCCTGGGAGAGAGAGCATCACCCTGACCCTATCTCGGAATGCCTCTGTAATGTTGACGTTCAACATTAGGCTTGCCGCCGTTGGTATCCGGGCCGCCATATTCGGCCACGGATGCTCGGTAACCTGCGGCATGACACTGTGCAGGGCCTCACAGAATTGGTGAAATTCTTACTGTAGATATGGTTCTTGAAGTTTGACTGAATGAAAATAAGAAGATGATTGTTATGTCCTTCTGTTATAGGGGTTAGCTATATAATATATATTTTATAAAATAAGTAAATAATAAAAGGCGTGTAATTTTAAGCGTATAGGGAAATATAGTGTTATTTATACCAATTAGCAGAGTCTGTGTTAGAATGGTATACAGGAATCTCTCCATCATACTACTAAGTCGAAATATATGGTGACAACTTGAATACGGCTGTAGCAACCAGCCACTTGTCGACAACTCGAAATACACTGCCGAGTAAGCAGAGCCAGGCCCGAGTCCAAGCTGATGACTTCGTTCGTGCGACTTTCGGATTCTCCGGATCTTGCGCTAATGGCTCATACTAATGAGCCTGAAACCTTTCCTTTTCCACGATTAATTGAGGGGGGGAGTTAGAGTGACCGGCGAAGGGCCGCAACTTGAAGATAGCTGATCACGAAGACATGGCCACGAGTCACGCGTTGACGATAAGAAGCGATCGAACGATGTAACATAATTAATACCAAGCCGATCACTTTTTTAAGCCGGGTAAGTCTATCTTTTCTCGATTTTCTTGACTGAATTGACTTTAATCAGAGATTATCGCGTTCTTCGCGAATAACGTACCAGCCACGGAATCACCGCGCGACGATTGAAAAGGGCAGGGCGACCCGTTCAACAACAAATTCAAGTTGCACCCACTGAGCAATTACAGTTGCCGGAAAGAAACTAATACTAGTATTCTTTCCACTTCGACTGGCTGTCACAAGTTATATGTACTGAGCGTGAACCTGATCAAAGTCATTTCATCTGACTCTCGCTGGGATTGTCTCTCTCGTTCTGTATTTATTTGTCTATTCTCTGAAGATTCCGACTATACACACGTGTTCGAATTCTCTTTACATTTACCCGCTTTTCCAGTCAAATTCTCTGAAGATCACCCAGAAACTTATGGCGACAGCGAACATCACTGCTGCTAATCCAGCGTATAGGAACAACACACTTGGATCATCCGAAACAGGGGAGACCGCGATCCCCAGAGCTGAGCCAACGCCAGAGCTGACCTGTACCAAAGACTGAACCAATGTGCGCATGTTTTTTGGCGCTTCGGAGTAGCTATATTCAGCCAGAGTTGTAAATCCCAAAATCTCCGCAGTCCCCAGAAGCACGAAGATCGGTATCTGCACCCAAACACTCAAGGCATTGGGAATGCTGCCATTATCTGAAGCTGAACAAGCAAGGGGATGATCATAGCAAGGGCCCTTTGAATAGATCAACTTTTGGACACCCGCAGCAAACGCCATTGTAGCACTCATCGTGATGAATGCCCAAGTCATACGCGCGATTGGGCCAAAGGGGATCCCAGCTTTTCGGAGCCTTGGATACAACATCTTTTGTATAATTGGTCCCAGAAAAACACAAACGATAGGATTGATAGCTTTTATTGCATCGTTTGGAACCCCGTCAAGCCGCATTTCTCCAGCTTGGGTGATCAGATTATTCACACTCTGATTATTGCATAAATGGTAAGGGATAAAACATGCCCTGTATCAAGGTGTCAACAGGGGAGATATCAAGAGCAAATTTTAAAAGACTGACATGATTCGGCAAGCGCTGAGACCCCTCTTGATTTCATCAACAAACAAGTCGTCCCAGTCAACTTCCTTGTGGTACCGCTCTGCTTGATATGCTGGTTTGGCTGAATCCAGTCTGAATCGGTCTCTAGCCGAATATAAAATAACTTTCGCTGTACGTGGTATCACACTACCCTGTGGTGGCAATTTCACTATTCCTCAAATTATTATCAATGTCCAAAACGAAGGCAATCAATCATTTCGTACCTAATTTTTTATTCCAGAGAAGTAGCAAAGGAGCAATGACAGAAAAAGAACAAAGCGGCAGGAGAAAAGCTGCCCAGTATCCAACTTGCTTTTCGAGATAGGTGGAAGCAATGAGCGACAAAGTGGCAATACTGGTAAACCTGGAAATAAGATGTTAAATCCTCAGAACCTTGGAACCATTGAAACTGAACTTTTCAAAATATAGAGCATAGTACCAATAGAAAACATTGTATATGTATTGCATGGTTAAGGTTCTGTCCGTGACAGCACGTTCACCAGATTTCGTGATAATCAATTTTGGAGCTTCGTCGAGATATTGGTCGCCTTTTATAACGAGTTTATTAGTTTCGCTTTTTGAAATCTTGATAATCTTCTCATATTCGAACTCGAAAAGCTCAAATTTACCTATAAAGGGCGTAATAGTGGCTTTGATGCCACCCGTCCCCAGTCCTATGAGAAATATTGCCAATATAAAGCCTGCAAGCTTGGCGGAGTACGCCGTAATTGAAGGAAGTGAAGTCACAAAAAGTACCAAGCAACCAACAAAGTCGAAGCTTCTAGGGTGTCAATTAGAGTGATAGAAGCGGGAGAGGATATCATCTCACCAAAAACTAATGCACAGAGTTTTATAGCGCCCCAAAAGCGCATCTGATAAGACAGCAAAGACAAATGACATCAGAAAAGAGAACGCATAGAACACACTGGAAACGTTTGAAGCAATAGACTCGCCAAGTCCTAAAGCGCCCGGGATAGAAACATTGTCCGCGCCATATTGCGCATAGTTTTCTACCTCGCGTTCATGTTAGCCAAAGCAAACAAACTAGTTTTTCAATAGACGAAGAAGAAAAAACTAACGCCATGGTGTTGTTGCAGCATAGAATATAAATCGTTCTGCCCCACTGACTACAAGAGCAATCCATACAACAAATGGGATAGAGTCAACGACATGCGGTAACTCTTTGATTTCAGTTTCAGTGGCATCTCGCCTGTTGACATATTCTTTTTGGGGCTGCAGGTCCGTGGGTACTGTTGCCTCAGATACGTTCATCATTCTGAAATTGATGAGTCCTCGGGTGGAAACTTTCAGGGTCGTCTAATGCGAAGTAAATCACTGTTGTGAGACCAAACTCAGTACAGTCAAGCTTTCACCAAATAAATAGCTTGTTTCGATAGCTCTCTTGGCAGAAGCTAGTCTCATATGGTAAGTTGTGGGAGACAAAAAGCTCGTCTTAAGAAAGGTTCCTATCTTCCTGCAGGAAAAAAAAAGAATCACCGATGACGGAAAATGGTACAATCGCTCAAAGAGTAAATTTGGATGGCGGTGGCCGCTGGATGGAAGGAATGCACACGATGCACGACTCCTTCATAAGCAAAGATCAGCGAAATCTAACCAGCCATACTCCGTACCTTTGTATACTTATTCTCGGCCCCTGTGGAGTCAAAGTGAATCCGGCAGTAGTCGTGTACGACGGGCCGCGCTTGAGCATAATCGGCATTAATCACGCAATTGAATGAACTAATTTGATATCAAGACTAGCAGGGATCATGCAGGAGATCCAACTCCTTGTAGAATTCTTATCCCTCGCTAAATAATATCGCACTCCTGTATCAGAGCCTATTTGGTCAAGTTTTCGTAAGTCGTTAATATCATGATCCATGCAGATGGCATCACCATCCGTGTCAGTGACGGCATTTGAAACCAATATATTTTCCCCATGAACACGGAACATCAAAAAGGACTCGACACATATGGAAATTTTGGAAGGGTCTCGTGCCCAGGTGTCTTGCAAAGAAAAGTGGCACTTTACATGAGGTTGTGGATCTCATCCTACAAATTAGATGCTCACATCCTATCTATAACTTGCTGAAATCATTGGTCCGTTCGTAGCATTACATGGAAGGCGTTTACATCATGCTATAGCAACCCCAAGGTGAAGATTTCATCTTAGCTACAGGTGAAGCTTACAACGTGAGGCAATTCGTGGAAATCGCCTTCAAAACTGTCGGTATCCGAATTCAGTAAGTAGTGCGACCCCTCAACTCAAATTCAACTCTAATTGATTCAGCTGGTCTGGAAAAGACCTGACGGAGGTAGGCACAGATTAGGCAACTTCGAATGTGCTGGTGAGAGTCAATCCAAAGTACTTCCGTACTCTTGAAAATGAGAATCTGCTGGGATCTCCGCACAGGGCTAAGAAGATACTGGGCTGGGAGCGCACGTATAGTTTTGAGAACCTTGTTGAAGAAATGGTCCAGTCCGACATCAAAGCCGTGAAGCAGGGTAAATTATTCGCAAACACGAACTTGGATTGGCTAGTTGGGGAGAATGACAATGTTTCCGACAGCTCAGAGGGCTCTCCAGGAAGAATTTAACTCATGCGACATAACTAGGACCTATAGCAGATGTTTTTCATTGAATTTTACAAGAGCGGAGAATTACCAATACAATGACTTCAAGTTCGATTTTATTTTCAAGATTTCGATTTTTTTAAACGAGTATACATTAGTACCACTGATAGGGATGTATGAATGCAATCAACCTGTCGGACCCCCTTAAAATTTGTATCAGATTATTTGATTCCATGCGATAATCAGTAGCTTTCCATTCGGAGATCGACATGTCATAAATCTCAAAAGGGTTTTAACAAAGAATCTATAATTGGCATTGCGAAGGATTCACCGGACATTGTTCAGCTTACGTGGCCAAGCCCACAAAAGACGCCATCGTACTTTTGTGAGAAGCGGAACATGAGAAAATCGCGCTTGAAAGCTTCCTATTCGTCAATTGGTCCGCTTTAAGAGAAATGAATTATTCAAAAAGGCTGGTGGAGAAGCCTGGCGGTGTTTGGTTTACAATACGAAGCTTCACTTCCGAGGGCACGAGATCACTTTGCGCAAGTGGATATATTGAACTTAGCAGGATCTACATCTCTAGCCCTATTATTCAGATGAGACGCGTGCAAGATTGGATTGCGCAATCAAAAATCCAAGCTAATTACCTCATTTTGACATGCAATTACTTTTGTTGTGATATGAGGCTGGTGCAGATCAGGAATCAAGCCGAACCATCGGAATGAACGAATACTAGTCTCTGACACCACGAAGAGGTGCCTGCTTGTCGCCAGAGGATCAGGACGAGGACCGCGGCGCCACGGGTCGCCAGAACGAGCACACATTACAATCGCAGGGCTCATTGCTGCGAGGGAGAATTTGTTGACGCAGCCCTCTCCTACGAGGTTCAATTGGTATCGCAGCGCCCCCCTGTGGAGACTATTGATCTCGTAGATGTCCCTGCGGAGTTCAATTTTAACGCAGCGCCCTCCTTTGAGGAACTTTGGTGACGCAGGTCCGAGGCTGCGAAGCACTCTCCTTACATTGCTGGGCTCATCGCAGCAGCAGCCGTCGTTACGGAATTCCTCACGTCTCAGACGACAGAGAAGACACTCCGGATGGCCTGGAGTTGAGGAGTTGAGTCCTGCTTTTCTCTCCGGCGGGAGGGGAACATCTCGTTATGCTCCTGAGTACGTCGAGCACATGTGCCAGTGGTGCGCATCATACTAAATGGGCCCTCACTGGCCCACCGTAGATTTGTCGGTGATCACTGCGTGCTGTGGTGGTTGATTCAACGTTGAAATACGTTGAAATATGTTGAAGTCCTGTGAAGAATGGTGAATGATGAGTGGAGACCTGGGCGGAGTGGCTCGCCCCACTCGGAGCCGGGGTTGGCTTGAACTCTATCTACGCGACAAATCGTTCGTCCCGTCAACACTGTTGACCGGTGAAATTTTTTCGACATCTTGTTTTGAGATGAATCATGGACAACTACCATAGAATTCGAAAGCATATTACCCCTAAGACACTCACGCTTTCTTTCCCAGTACCCTACCCAGATCGCGCTAAACTGAATTCAGGTCAATGAAAGTTCCACAATCTTTTCATTATGTATTTCTAGTAGATCATCAAACCATTATTACGGGTTCAGGTATCGGCAGACTGTACTTGCCGAAACGCTCCGTGGCCATATACCATAATTCGAAGATAGATTACTCCTCATTAGCTGGCCGTTGCAGTGGTCGTAACACGTTAGCTATACTAGAAGATACATGAACTCTCAAATATATTCATCTTCCAGGCCAAGAAATTTTGCAGCATATTCCTGTGATACACATGCTTTTGAACGGCCTCACTTATGGTTCCATAAGTTGATGAGTAGCTAGTGAAGTGGTGTACAGTAGCGGGTTGCATAAGGGCAGACCTAGTCTTCTACATGTCTCTCTGAATGAGGTCATAAGGAAACGCACTGAAGTCGGTCTTATAAAATGCTCTGTTATGCCTGGCCATCTGGATTGCGCCCTGTACATGTATTTTAGTCGAAGCGCCATCACCAATCAGGATCTATGACTTGTTAGCGGTATGTAAAGTAAATCAAGAGATGCGGTCATAATTACATCGTCATGTGCTAGGAATAGGGGTAACGCAAGGGTCGAATCACTAATTGGAGAGCGCATATCTGAAGACGATATAGCCTCCATTAGTGACTGCGCACATGCGATTTTGTACTGAAGGGCGAGTTGAATAAAGTATGGCCCATTATGTGGTAGAAATTGCGACAGATGGCGGCATGACACAAGAAAGAGACCATTCAAAGAGCTAGCATTGGGAGCGGCAAGTTGCACAAAATGTTCGTTTAGATGCTGTGTACAGCTTTCCGAATAGCTAATCTGGTTACGTTGCAAAGTTGAACACGGTACAACATTTGCCATGTCTGAGCTGGGTTAGTTACCGAAAATCTGCTTCTTGGGAGGTCCGTGAGAAGTAGCGGACTTGCGACATATATCGACTTCTGACGTGAGAGACACTCACTTACAGTAGTCTAAAAGAAAATCTTCGATCGGATTGAGGCGCCTGGCAAAGCTTGCGAAGGGATCTCTCCGGTGAGACCCCAGGAAGCCCAGAGGGCTTGGGATGACGGAAATCCCTATCGCGGCGGCCGCTGTGGAGAATGGCAAGCTTTCGTCTCCCGAGCTACTGGTAGTTTTGATGGCACGGTACTCAATGAGTCTCCGTCTCCTCGCCCTGGCATGTGCCGCCCGAGCTGCATGTGAGTGAACTAGTCGTCGCATTTCAGTCGACGCTGTCCCGGGTAGTCCGGGTTTGGATGAATGGATGAACTGGATTTCACTTCTTGTGTGGGACATTGTGGTCGTGGTTCAGCATCTGAAGGGGGTTTACTAGGAATTCCACCATGAGTTGATGGGATTGCAGAAACGTGTAAACCTTAAAGCCTTGACTGGATGTTGCAGGACGAATCTTGGAGCTGAACTGAGGTATGCGTCATTTGTAAGCAATGAAGGACCTTGCCAAGACTTTGCTCTTTCCAGATAAAGAATAGTGCCACCTCCCCACTCTACTAGCGTTTCTTATCTCTATATCGACCATCGCTCATAGCCCAAATAAACTCAATGATAGATTGACCTTTTCCTTGTCGGTACATCACCCACCAGAACTTCTTACACTTAACTAAAACTATATGTGCAGCATTTTTAAGCACTGAACGACCTCGCCAAGACTTGCTCTTTCCAGGTAAGGCATCTCCCACTACTTGCCGTTGTTTCGGAGCCACGGAAGTGTCCCTAGCAACAGCCAAGGAGAAATATTGCATTCTTTCTAATATCAAACAACTTCCACGGAAGCACGCGGGTAACGAATAGCTTAGCAATCAATTATTCAACGTATTTATACAAAGAAGTGACCAGCCGCACAGAGAGATGACTATCTTCAAGAGAGTCTCCCTGCTCACTGTTCCGCTGCATATCCGGTACTCATTATGGTTTCTCCTCCTATGAAAAGTTTCGTGTCATTCACCAAGACTTGGCACAATGATACTTACCCGGCCATCTCACCCACACGCCCGGAGCTTTCGACGGCTGGAAAAAACGTCGTCATCACGGGCGGCGGCACAGGCATTGGAAAGGCAGCAGCCATCGCCTTCGCCCAGGCCGGTGCCAAATCAGTTTCCATTATCGGGCGCAGGATCGACCGTCTCCATACTGCGGGGCAGGCGATCACTGAAGCCAACCCCTCGACTCAGGTCGTCTTGCAAACAGGCGACATCACCGACCTCGCGTCTATGAATGCGGCTTTGGGTGCGATTGTGAATAAGGTCCGCAGCAACATTGACATATTCGTTAGTAACGCTGGTATGCTTCCGAAAGAGGCCCCGGTAATTGGCTACCCAGAGGCAGAACTCCGGCGCACTTTCGAGATCAACACCATGGGCACTTTCCACGCCTTGCACGCGTTTACCCCATTGGCCGCCCCTGGCGCAAAGTTCTTGCACACGACGTCTTCTATCAGTCACTGGGCTCCTCTCCCGGAAGTGCCAGGAGTATGGAGCTACGCGGCCACGAAGGGAGCGGCGCTGAAGATGGTCGACTACTATGCTTCCGAGCACCCGGACATTCACGTCGCGAGCTTCCATCCAGGCATCGTTGGCACTGAGATCAACCCGAACATCCCTGTAGGGCCAGACACGGGTGAGTCCTTTGGTTTATTTTCCAAGCCATCAGGAAGACCGATGGGCTGCGTAGCCATGCTAACACACTTTGAAGTGGAGTTGCCTGGAAACTTTGTTGTGTGGCTTGCGTCGGATGAAGCTGCATTTTTGAGGAACAAGTTGACCTGGTCAAACTGGGACGTGAATGAACTCATAGATCGGGCGGAAGAGATCCGGACATCATTCCTGTTAAAGGTCTCTCTGAATGGTGTGGACATGTAGTTGAAGCTCTGGTGTCTGGCGCTCTAACAGAGCTTGCGATATGCGCAACCGAGTTCATAGCCACGAATATGATGTAGGAGGCGATGTTGGTTGGTTCTCATCGACAGTAGTCGACCCAGTTAGGAAAGGCTCATAATGGCCTTTTGTCTCTCTCTGTGTGTGTTTGTGTTTCTCTGTCTCTTTCTTGTGTCATATCAACGCGAATCGGCAAGGTGGGATTAATTGACTTGGTGTACAAAAAAGAACATCGTATAGTGGTTATTCGCTCGAATAGACGAACACAACATATAGGGGTGTATAGGACAAGACTTTCAATAAGGGGCAATTCGGCGGTTTTAAGCTGACATAGACCCTGGTTCCGCAATCTCATGAGTCATAACTAAATAGCCGTCTCTACGCAGACCAACGCCGACCGCCTTTTGGTCTGCTTCACACTAACCATGTTCTTCAATCCGTGTTTCCTGTGAACCTCTCTAAATCCCTCAGTTTTACTACCATATATATGGTCAATCTCCCTGAAAATCGAGCCGATCGCGTAGATGAAGCGCACGGATACGCATCTACTGTTGAGAACCCGAATATCGCAGAGATCGCT